TGGAACCTAACGTGGCGTAAGAGCAGTGTGGGTTCAGTTCTGGTCGCAGCACTATAGATATGGTGTTTGCGGCTCGTCAGTTGCAGGAGAAGGGCAGAGAACGACACCAGCCTTTGTAATCGCTTTTTGTTGATTTCACGATGGCATTTGATACGGTGAACCGCGTGGCATTGTGGCTGGTGTTGGGTAACATTGGTTTCCCGCGTAATTTTGTAAGTTTCATTGAATGTCTGCACAGTGGTATGCCAGTGCGGGTGCAGCTGAGTGAAGGGACCTCGGATGATTTTGCAGTTCTCTCCGGTAGGAAGCAAAGGTGTGTCTTGGCTCCTCCCCTGTTTAATATATATCTTCATGCCATGATGTCTTGTGCTTACGATGTTTGTGTGGAGCACCGTATGATGGTGGTCGTTGAACATCCGTCGTTTCGGTGCGTGAACCCTAGTCTGTGAGACAACTATCCGTATGTTGCTGTTCACTGACGACTGTGCGTTGTTTGCAAACAGCGCGAATGAGTTGCAGCGCATGACTAGACCTCTGGCTTCAAAGGCGGCAAAACTCGGACTCACCATCAACTGAAGCATAACTGCCTGTATCTTTAAGCCTTCAACGGAGGTGCATTCTTCAATATTGCCGTGAATCAGCGTTGGTGCTGAAGTATTGGAAACCACCTCCCGCCTCTGCTACCTTGGGAGTGTGATGACTGATCTGCAGCTACACGGTGAGCTGCATATCCGCGTGTCGAAGGCAGCGACAGCATACGTGAAGCAACAGTATCGCGTGTGGAACAACCATCAGCTTACCATTGGCATAAAGCTGATGGTGTACAAATCCATGGTGCTGTCCGTTCTTCTATACGACAGTGAAACGTGGAGTATGTACCGTAGGGATATGCAATAGCTCGAGCGGTACCATCAGCGGTGTCTGCGACTAATTCTGCACATCGGATGGGGCGACAGAGTTGCAGACACGGAAGTGTTGCGACGAAGCGGAATGTATGCAGTGGACTGCATACTTTTGCTGAGACACCTGAGATAGCTCGGTCATGTGAGCCGTATGGATTCAACGCGGATACCGAAACAAGTCTTATACGGTCAGCTGAGTAATGGGAAGCGGCATGTGGGGAAACCAATGTTACGTGTCCAGGACATGATCAAAGTGAGCCTCTCACGTTCTAAACTTGATTGCAGGTCATGGGAATCGAAGCGGTTGATCGGCGTACATGACGCGATCTGATCACGAAGGGATTTGCCGAAGAGCGAGAGAAAGCCCTCATGCATACAGAGAAGAATCGGCAGTTGCGGAAGCGACAGTTGCTGGTGGGTTGTACTCCATCGACATCGAGTGCATGGTGCTGTAGCACATGCGGTCGCGAGTGCCTGAGTCAGGCAGGCCTTTTGAGTCATGAGAGAGGCGACTCGGGCCAACATGGAAAGGAGGACTGTTCCTGCAGAGAACGAAGGCAGAACCTGCGCAACGTCTGTAGGTACGCTGCATTCGACTTACTAACCGTGTGCCTTCATGCTAAGTTCCTTTATTTCAGGTGGTGGGTTTGCAATTTTGTCCTAATGGTTTTTATCACATCCTAATATCAACCTGAACTTCGTTGCATAAAGGTGCCTATTCCCTTAAACTGCTTTAGTTTACTTCGATAACATTTTCGCGTTTGCGGCATTTTCTTAAAGTATATTTTCTGACATCTTGAACTCATCGAGGATTTATTCGTAATCAATTCATTTCATATGCTCATTTAGTGCGGTTAGGTCATCGTATCTGTATGCATTGTTCGGTTTATTTTATTTTTATCGTCGTTTCAACTGTTTGTGTGTTGCTTGGTAGTCCCGGTGTGGCTGCGATTGATGTGAAAGTTGATAAGGTGCCTACCTGCCTATTACCCATTGCCTCCTGCATCCTGGCTCCAGAAGGCAGTCGGTCGTTGCTGGAAGAGCGGGATGCATGGTCCTTGTGGCCGTGCAAGGCTCGAAGAGTGGTTCCATACACTCAGTTTGGAGCGGACCACCGTCCAACCCCCGCCTTATGTGCGATTTATTCCCAAATACTGCGTGTTTGTGTTTGCCTGTGAAGGAGTGTGTGCCGGCTCCTTTGATGAAACGTGACTCCCATCCACATGCCTCCCGGTCTTATTCCATCGGGTTTACACTGGATATGAGGTGTGTGGTTTGAGCTGTTGGTGGTGCAGCGCAAGCCACCCATGGTCCTTCTGTTGTCGCAGGTGTCCTGCGGCTGGCTACAGTGACAGGCAAAGCCGAAACCGGATGTCGCCAACCTTTTGTATATATATATATATATATTATATATATATATATATATATATATATAAATATATAAGGAACTGGTGGAAAATAAAAACGAAAGTATATGAACATGAATCTATTGAATGGCATACTTAAGCATTCCTCACTTGGAAGGCGCTAGAAATCCAGCAAGGTAAATCAAAGGCAATCGCGTTGACAAATGGAGCAGGCACTTTTAAAAAGGAAACAATCAAGTGTTGTGCAATTCTAGCTATTCTACTGAATACCGTCAGATTTCTCGCCAAGTATAAAATGGCGCTGCGTGGTCACAGGGAAGCCATCCGTAATGATAAAGAAGGCCGGGACAAGAGGTGGAATATTTAGAATTGATACATTTGTTGACCACGTGAATATTTGGTGACAATTCAGCTGGGATAGACCATCGACGCTTTATGTTTGTTTCCAGACGTTCAGCTTTACTTTGTGAGCAGTATAGCAAGCCAGTTAAGAGCAAAAATCATGGACCAGATGAAAGGAAGCAAGAATTTTTGCCTAGATTTTGTTAGCACTCCCGATGTATCCCACAAAAATTAGATGTGTGAGCAGATGGTCTAAGTAAATATGTATGAAAGGGAATGGAAAGTTGAATCGTTTCTCTGCTTCATTGAGGCGAACAGCAAAAGCGCAGAGGAAAATTCTGAATTACTTTTGAGAGAATTGGGGCAGGATGGAATTCAGATGAATGACTGAGGTAGCCGGGCATTTGACAATGTTGTTATTATGGCGGGTTGCCGATAAGTTGTTCAGAGATACATCTGCCAAATAAGCTCAGACTCTACCTTTGTGCCATACAAAAACCATTCCTTACTTGTGTACAATCAGCTTCTGCGACGGTTAACTCTGCTGCACTTTTGGTCCAGTTGACTGGTTATTCTCGTTCTGTTCTACATTTACATATCTCTGAAACGTTTTGATTCAAGTGACCGATTTTGGTATCAAGCCGGTTATGAAAAATAGATGAAGTAGTCGATCGGACGCTGTACATATTCTGATGAAATAATACTCAGAAATCATCACTGCTCTGTAACAGCTCACAGCATCTAGAGAAAATGCCATTCGAAACATGGCTGCATGTCTACTTCTCATCTCGGTACTGTCGTTTCCGTTTCTTTAGTTTCTGAGTCTTTGGAGATCTGTTCTTCCAAAAAATCAGTAATGCATAAAATAGCCTCCAACAAAATGACTGGGTTTGCAGCGAACTTCTGTCAAGTTCACAGCGTTAAAAATTTGTCTTCATCGGAAATAGAGAGATGATGGACAGTGCAATGCATGAATCGAGGATCTCTGCTCTGATTCGGGTTAAGCATGGCGCTTCGAATCTGCCGAAACAAGCGGATGGATGGTGAAGAATTGTTTCATACATCGATGAGCCGAAACGGAAAATGCTACCATAGACAGGTTGACTAGTGAGACGTGTCAATGATTTCGTAAAATCATAACCTTACAAACAAATATGTTCTTGTTACACCATCGAATATACTTGATGCTAACTATGGTTTTTTGCCTTAAGGAAGTTAATGAAGGCACAGGAAAAGAGGAGCTCCTTACCGAGCGAAGAAGATTGCCATTGTGTGAAACGACCAAACTAGGGGGCCTTTGAACTTTTGAGCTTTATACAGAAATATCACCTTGGGGAATCTGCACCGAACATTGTGTTCTTGCTGCGCATCTTTCCTGTCCGAGCTATTAACACTTCACGCTGTGAGCATCTTTTTTAAGCTAATAAAGAAATACTTTCGATCCGCAATTAATTGGACAAGACTGACGGACTTCGTAATACTTTCCGTAGAGGTGTAACTTGCCCAATAAATGGATTTTGATATTTTCACCTTAAATAAAGCACGAAAAGTGTGTTTATAAATTTTGCACAGGTGTATTATAGCAATACGAATGTCTACAGTTACACTGGCACTCTTATTGATTATTTCTCTTGGAAACAAAATATCGAAGGGCTGTTCGCATTTGTGAGGGATCATAGATTTACAACTGCCAGTGGAGCGGAAATCTTATGACTGCCCTGCGCGATAAAATCAGTTGATACACCAGTAGTCGATCATGGGATCCAGTTTACCTTTGTGTTTCTTAGCTTTCCGCAGAGTGGTCGTTTGCCTTTTAGCCAATGTAAAACCATAATGTTTAAACGACCTGCCTGGCATCTCATAAATCCACTTTACAAATGAGAGAACGACCTAACCCGTTAGAGTGTATGCAGGTTAAGTTTCGTAGTCTTTCCATTTAAAAATCTGTGGAAATATAGATACCGAAGGGATAGATGATGCCTTTGTGGCCTGCTTATCCTATCACTCCGTCGGAGGTGCTTGCGACCTGCAGACCGATGAACCAGCGATCTAGTCACAGTACACTGAAACAAATTAGTTTTCGCCGCAGATTCTACCCTAAACGATTACAGTTATCAAATGTTGCCGGATGACTCATATGTTGCATGTTGGAATGATCCGTTTCGCAGAACTATTTGCACACTGAATCAAATCCTGTGCTTAGATTGCGAACTTTCTTTTTACTATTAGTCTATATAGATATAGAAATATACTATTCTGAGAGAATTCAGTGATCAGTGATCAGTGACCACACCGCATTTCTGTTACTTACCAGCAACATTCACAGTGGAATAGCATTATGTCATGTACGAATTTACCTAATATGCGTTTCTGCTTTTTAATATTATAGAGAACCGAGGAATCAGCTTTGTTTTTGTTGCCAAAGACGGAGTGCAGTGTCCGCAGTTGAAAATCCCTGGCAGCCCTAGAGCGAGCGTGGAATTTCTATCCATGTTAGAACAGGGACTCTCACCGACAGCAAGTTTGAGCCCCACTGTGGACAGTGTCAAAGGCAAGTCAGAACAAATTTCTACTTCGACTTTCAAATCTAGCTAATCACTGCACCTACGGGACTATCACGTTTACATTTGAACGCGAGAACCACTTTACTCTATGTCTGAATGATGTTCTCTGCCGTGCAGTTAGACTGTGATACCTAGTCTCGACTGCAAACAGGATTTCTTTTGATGGTGAGATTTATCTCTGGCAGTGGGTCCTCATACATGTCTTGGCGTTGCTACATAGTAAATCGATCTGTCAAGTCAAACTGGGCGTTTTAACTTTAGTATGAACCATAAGCAAACCCTAGCTTAGTGAATTCCAAGATTTTCTGTCCATAATAAATCACAGCCGTCCCCCCGGTGCTGGTGTTCCAATGGTCTAGGTGTCATTTGACGTCGAAACATGGGAGAAACTGGTTATGGAGGTCAATGCTGAGAATTAACTGTCGGAAATGCTTTTATCTCTGACACTCTCATGGGGATTGTAATGACCGGAGTTTATTTTGCAATAACTGGCAGTCCCAGTTAAGGTTGAATGTCACAGTTCAAGTGCATGTGGTGTCATCCTAATCCACGATTAATATCCAACTTGCGGCGTCCACTGGGCCAATGTTGAGTGCGTCCGTTGGTATTAATAAGGTCCTTATCGATAGTCCCATTCTAACCTCTGTCTGCTTGAAGAACTTAAGCAAGTGAAAAATTTTCCATAGAGTGTGATGCTAGGGACAAACCATTACTTCCATCTGCGCATCTTGCATCTTCCATCAAACAATAACTTGAATCCGTTTGACGAATCTTCACTTACTACACTAATACTGGACCTTATACTTTAGGGCCAAATGTTTTACCATGTCTGTAGAAGTTCGGGAGCTAGGAACTAGTTTAAGACCCTATGTATCTGCGAAAAAGAAACGCCAGGCATTGGGAAATGGCTGGAAAGCACACAGACGGGATGCCTAACTTTATAATGCTCCATATATCCGGCGTTTTGCACAGCCAACAGCCGAATACAGTCAACTGAAAACTGTCAGCTTTTTTTCACTCTGTCAAACCTCTTACCATCACACTGCTCAATGGTGGATGTGTCATCTAAAAACGCCATGGCATAACAGCAATTTCAGCTGACTCGTTGGCCCTTAATTACTTGGGCGTTTCATTATGGTTGGCTACTCCGGCTTATGATCCGCTACTGAGCTGCACTTACAGACCTCCTGGTGCGTCTCCATGAATCTCAGCAGTTGATGTCAGTCATTAACGCTGCTTCCAGCACATCAATCAAGTGCAAATTCCTATGTGGAGATTTCAATTTACCAAACACAACAACTAGAGGACTTGCGGAAATAATCCAATGTGTCTGTATCAATGGTTGGATTCAACACGTTAAGCAACCTATCTGGTTGGATAACAGCTTAGATCTAGTTTTAACCATGCGTATTACATGTGTAGTACACTCCAACCTACTATGGCGACTAACTGTCCAAGGCGACCACTTTTTGTCGGTCAGTTGAGTGGTCGCCTTACTCAGGTCTGACCCCTTAATAGGATGTGACCACGTGATGGTGTTTCGCAGCATGACTATCAAATCATCTAAACACTCTAAAGTAATAAGGAATCCAGTACCCCGACTGCAGCTTACTGATTGGAGCACATTTGACAATATGCTTAGGACAGGTGTTGGAACCGATTCTTCGCCACAACAGATTCGGCCATAATCGCAGGCGAATTCGCGAAAATTATTGTCACTTAGACGTATATAGTAGCGCCTACGTAGGAGGTAAACACAGACCACGTTGACGGCCGATACAAACACTCGGTTCCAAGCCAAAGTAAGCACGGTCACTGCATTACATTACTAGACAATTTTTACTATCCCAAACACGACTTGAATCATGCAAACTCATAGTGCGACCCAATCTAGAGTACTGCACCATCATACATAGCGATTTACGCAAAATAGATATAATTGCTTTGGAAAACGCTCAGCGCTCCTTTAATAATATGCTCATCAACGCTTGCCTATGAGGAACAATGTTCTTCTATCCAGCTCTACCCGCTCCGGGTTTGACTACTGAAAAGCAATCACACTCTTTTCGACAGTATAATCTACTCGCGGATGTTCACGACCAGAACGGCTGTCGCTTTACCAAACGGCTCAATCTATCCCACTCGTAATGGGAACTGTTTAATATGCTTACAGATGACCACAAAATATCCGCCTAAATTTCTTTTTGGTGAGGTACGGTCATCGGCAGAATACACTATGGTTGCAATTAAGGACAAGCAAGAGCCTGTCTGCACTTGAATCTCATCTAAACACTTTTCTTTCAATGCCAAATGTGGTCAAACTTTTCATCCTTCAACAATCTACTAGCGCACTCATGAAATCAGGCCCGAAAAATAAATCACAATATTACTCAACAAAAGATTGCATTACTGACGCATACGGAAGGGAAGTTCATAAATGAAATGTTGACCAAATTGTCCCCACAATGTGATCGTTCCATCAAAGCGAATGTATCCTGCCCGCCGGGAAATATACCCATTTCTTGTCTATATTAATTGACATTAAACTGAAGTTCACGAATGTTTCACCATCACCACTGAAATCACCAGCTGCTTGAATACCTAAGGCCTACCAACGATTTTTAATCTAGCATGGGTGATTTCAACGTACATTGTTTAGAAGCCCCTGCCACAACCGGCGAACAATTCAAAATCGATTTACAAGATCTAGTAACTACTGCTCCTCTTTACAACCACATCACTTTGCCCACTCGGTTCAGAACTGGTAACAGGCCATCTGTGTTGGATCTTGTGCTTACCAACGAAGAGCATATGATTGATGCGTTGGTTTTAGACTGCCCGTTGGGTCGCAGTGATCACGCAGTGATCAGTTTCAACTTCGTCTGCTATGCAGAATATCGGAATGATAAAGATGAGACTGTGCGAACCATCACAAGGTACGACCGACTCGCCCAGCTAGTCAGCGCCACAACATGGTCTTTCCTCGAAGAAGAACCCCCAGAACTCGCCTGGCTCGAGTTCGTCAACACATTCAGTCAGCTGATTGCACAGGCTTCAGAGAGAAAGCTTGCAATAAGTGCAAATCCGTTTCTTTCGTTAGGAGCAGAACCCGAAAATGGATGACAGTACGCAATGCAGCATGGCGAGTGTACAGAGAAGCTCCAGCACCAGAAACGTGGGACAACTACGTAGCCCAACGTAACCACTGCACTCAACTGTTAAGAGAAGACAAAGCCGCCTATCAGCAGAACATAGCAAAAACCTTCAGTGCTAACCACAAACTGCTGTACAAGCACGTTAATAGCCTACGAAAGGTGAGACAAGGATTTCCTCCACTCAATACGGCTGATGGCCCAACAAGCACGTCTATGGAAGCTGCAAACGCGCTGCAGATGCAATACGCCCCCACGTTTCAAAGGGTCTTGCCACCAAGCGATCTGTCAAGCTTTGTCTTCTGCTCACCAGGACTAACCCACATCAATTTTACCGCAGAGGCTGTATTGCAAAAGCTGACCTCTCTACGCAAACACAGCTCACCGGGTGTCGACGCCATTCCTCCTGAGGCATTGGGAGTAGCAGCAAACCAACTGGCAGGACATTTAGCTCAGTTTTTCCAGCACTGCTTAGACCAGAACCAAGTTCTCGCCATGTGGAAGCTTGGAATAATAAGCCCGATTCACAAATGTGGAAGCAGATCTGATCCCTCCAACTACCGCCCAGTAACCCTTCTTCCTATACTCTCCAAGGTCATGGAATCCATAGTTGCCGATGCACTGGTGTGCTATCTGGAAAACTGCAACCTCATCACTCCTGAACAGCACGGTTTCCGTCGACAGCGGTCATGTACAACTAATTTACTCATTGCACGCAGTAGTTGGACCAAGGCAGCCGACGCTGGAGAAGGTGTTGATGTGATATACCTGGATTTTTCCAAGGCTTTCGATCGTCTAGACCATCGGATACTACTATCCAAGCTGCAGCATTACGGGATCGGAGACCCTCTTTTAAGCTGGATCGCCAACTTTCTATTTCAAAGGCAATTAGTGGTCAGAGTTCGGAGCTCTTTATCGGACCCCATACAAGTCGAGTGTGGTATGCCGCAAGGCTCGGTTCTAGGTCCACGTTTGTTTTTGGTGTTTACTAATGAACTTGCACAGGGAATCGCTTCAAACTTCCTAATGTTTGCCGAGGATATCAAGATCTGGCGCAGGATCCAGGCGAACGCCGACCAACATGTGCTCCAAAGTGACTTAGGTACAGTGTATCAATGGTCGATCCAAAACTTATTGCATTTCAACGTCAATAAATGCAAGGTGCTTTCCATCCGACATCAGGGCAGCTACTCATACCGACTCGGAACGGATGTACTGCAACAATCAACTCTCGAACCTGACTTGGGTGTCCTGGTTCAAGATGACTTGGGTTGCTCCAGGCAATCGGAAAATGCCTCGAAGACCCGGAATCAACACGTTGGGCTGTTGAGGCGGGCGTTTGGACAAATAAACAGCTCCATATTTCGACAAATGCTCAGTGCGTATGTTCGCCCCCATGTCGAATACGCAATTCAAGCCTGGCATCCATGGCTGAAACACGACCTTAATGCACTGGAGCAGCCACAACGCCGGGCAGCTAAGAACGTAACTGGAATACGCAATCTGTCCTACCAGGAGAGGCTGCGACGACTAGGATTGTTCAGTGGAAGCTATCGCAGGCTACGAGGCGACCTGATTATGACATACTTGCTTCTGCGAGACCCACATCATTTGTTTGCCATTTACTGCAACTTAGCAGCAATACAAACCTGAGGGGCCACTCATTAAAATTCGCAGAACAATACAGTCGTCTGGAGTGCCGCAGAAATTTCTTTTCCATCCGTGTCTGTCACCCGTGGAATGCTCTCCCAGAATCGGTCGTCTCTGCACCGACACTAACAATATTTAAAAGACGGTTGGACGATGCACTTATCCACTTACACTTTGTTACTTAACACTATGTCTCCATCCTACACCTGGAGTTTATCCTGGAATTATTTGTTTTTAACTGTGGGTGTTGTGAATCTAAGTGGATCGCAGGACTGCAGCAAAGCAAACGATAAGTTCTTATTTTCGTATTTAAAGTGTTAACTATTTTACTATCCTTTTCATCATGATTATTATGTTGATATCCCCACCAACTATCCAACGGGGCTTGTAAAGCAACGCTTCTTAACCCGTATAAATTCATTGTTCATTGATCCGAAGCATAACTTGGCTGTGAATCTTCTCGCTGTTGCATTTCCCAAATCGATTATTATTGATAATTGTGAACGCACAGTTGACGAGCTTGCCATCATTACCTATTTCTGTGTTGCAGATGCAATCTTTCCATCCCATGATAATGAATCACTTAGTACTGGCCCTCAACTGATGCACATTTCGTCTCCTGTGAGCCCCATCTCTCCTCAGTCAATTAAAGATGGGAAATTCGGTAGACTGATGAATTTACGTATCCTGAAATCAAGTCCATTCCGTTCTAACTCCAGTGACACAGCAATGGATATAGCAAGACAGACATCCAAACTCACCAACCCAAAAAATTCGGGTAGTGTAGACGGAACAGTTGTCTTACTGGCCCTTGGACAGGGCGATTTGGAAGCAAACCAAGACGAGATGGTGGATCACACCATGGGAGCAAACAAATACTCGCAATACTTCAACTTCGTGTTTCGAATCGTGCGTAATGTGGTGAGTGACGGGCAAATGTTTAGCACTGCCAGAACAGTAATGCGCTTTCTTCACTGGTTCATGTATTAATGATAAAAATGCACAGAATCATGAAACTTTAACATAACACAACAATTTCAAAGCATACCAGCGACGAATACACTAATTCAGACAGCAACTGGACGACTGTTTTATTCTTTTGCGAACCTTTCCTGAACATTCGTTTGCGGGTCTTAAGACCACGGAGCTACGGAAGATGATCAACAACCGCCGTGACCAAGTTAACTAGCCGTGCGGATGAGCCGCGCACTATCACAGATAGTTTTGACTAAACCGCTGTCTAGGGCTTTCCGGAGATGTATTGTCAGTCTGAATGAGTGTAGCTGTGATGAGTCACTTTCAAAATTACTCCAAAATCCTGCGTTCACTAGCCTCTTCAAACACACGTATCCTGAATGGCCATAGGTGTGTGTTTTGCTCTTATGGAGTGCTGGGCAATATAGGCTGAACTTCATTCCACGAAATGCTGGCTCCTGTTTACTTACTGGTGCCGAATAACCCTGACAGAGATGGCAAGCTTCTGTACTTCGAATGGCTGTTGCGAACCTTAGTATCCAGACTGCGTAAGGGGAAACAGTGCTGCATTTCAGAATGCCGGTGAATAAAGAACAGAAGTTCACCTTGACCACAATTCCAGCAATTTGTTTGAGGTGAACTAGAAGCGTATGACCGATTTCAGGCCAGCTGTCCTCCGTCAACTGCGTACTTGCAGTAAAAGTGGACAGATGTGTTTCCTCACTAACTAAGTGGTGGCAGATGTCATCAGGACACTGAAGCAAAAGTGAGTCGCGTGATTCGCCTAATGTGTGCAGGCGGTACTGTCGGAGTTTGTGACTTGTTCATACTCGAGGATTCTCGGCTACCATCTGTAAAATACTTGGCACCACGACAGAACCGATGGTCTGAAAGATAACGGGTGGGTGACTGGCATGAGGTAAGCCTTCCTATGTTCTCGAGTTAAGAAGCAATCACAAATCATTGGTATGCACTTGAGGCACTCATCGTGTGAACGGACTGCGACATGATGCGCACTGAAACGAGCCTTGATCAGTTCGGTCAGTGGGACCGTAACTGACGAAGCAGATGAGTCGATTCTTAAACTGGCTTCGTTACCACAACAAGATGTGAGCCAAGCACCTTCTCCGACGCATATTTGGATGTTGGCAACTGCGTTGAGGGGTTTCGCTTGATCACTCTGTTGCCATCGTCATGTGATAGATGGTAGTAGAGTTTGTGCCAGTGAACAGGTAGGTCGACTGATTTGGGGGAACACTGGTATCTGCGCCAAATGTTGAAGGTTTGGGACATAGATTCATAGTGAATGCAGAATATACGAGTAGCTATGAGAGGATATGTCTGGCAAGCGTCACTGAGAACAGTAACTTTATTAAGGGAATCTCCACATTATCTCTTGTTTCTCCGTGCAACAGTGACTCACTCCACACTCGAGTCCATTATTGCCACTTTTAATTGTCCGTTTACCTATCCGCATTTAGTCCTTAGATGACAGAGAGGAGAAATCAGATCATTTGGCAGAAGCGATGAGCAAAATGGACACTTACAGCCCCGATTTTGTGACTGAAAAGGAAGCGTTATCGACGACCGTGGAAGCGATAAAATTGAAATTGTTATCCAGATCATTCTATGCTTGTAAGTTTCAAATTGTTTTTTATTCAGCTATTGACCATTGTAACTATAACGGCTACTCTGCTTTACATATAATGCGAACTTTCCAACAGGTACGGTTGGTATTCGTCGATTTCTTCGCTAAATGCGATTCAGAGAGTTTCAGAGCTACAAACTATGGAATATGCTGCATCACTTTACCTACCGCAGCCTTCACTCAAATGACTCATTCGTAAGAGACAACAACTGACAGTGATTGGTGAGCAACACCGAAACCCTCCAACTGACGTTATACTTTGCTGATATAACGGAAAGTTATTCTAAGTTCGCCTGCTTAGGCGGCCATGTTCAAGGGTAGAATCCCATTGAAGAGGAGCACCTACACACATTGATTAATGTCTTTTATTCCCAGCCTGCTAACACGGCAGAGCCGAGGCCAAGTTGTTTGATGCTTACAGCTTCGACATGAACCAAGATCTGAAGATTATTTGACGATTAGATAACACGAAACACACAGAGTCCACGCAACATTTGACATCCATCGCTTGGGCGGAGATCAATGAGACTGCCTGTTTGAATGACGCTTCATTTCGTCTCATTGTTTGCGCGTACGGGGTGTTGGTACCGAACGTGTTTACTAATCCACATAGACTCGTTTCCGCAATCCTGACTCACAGCTTCTCTTCTCTCACTTCTGTGTAGTCGGTTTTGTAACTAGCCTAGAAAGTAACTGGACAGACCAGTGGGAGTTTAGCCGATGGAGTAGGATGTGGGTCGCTGTGCAAAGTAATAACGGTTCCGCTGCCTGGTATATGCGTCCCAGTGCGGATTTGAGTATAACTGAAACACTTGACCTACATTGTCTCCCTTGAATGGAAGGTTGGTAATTGCTTTTACCCCTTCGATATCGTGAACATGATGAATTTTAGAGATAAAAGAAGGCAGCTTTCACTTTTTCCGCGAGGGTGTTGATTTCCAATCACACCTCATTTTCTACTGTATCTGTGACGAAGATTTGTGTTGATATGTTAAAGTGCGTCTGTAACAAGCGTTGTTTATCTCGTTTAATGACAAAGCTATCGAATTTCATTCGCTGCTCTCTCATCTCGGCTTGTCGTTAACTTACTTGTCATTCTTGTGTGCACTTAGGATGTTCTGTAAATAGGATGACCTCATGCTGCCTGTGCTTTGTTGTCAATCTCTTTCAGTTGCACTAATCTACGGGACTATGCATATACCGTCTGTAGGACTTCGCTGAAAATTTAAAACAGTATTCCTATGTATATGGGTCGTTTGGTACGCTAGTATTGTTCAAATATCACCCAGACATTTCACTTTTATTTTTGTTTCCTGCTGAGTTTTTCATACTGAACCCGCGAACTTTGGACCCATCCACTCAACTTGGTTTTGAAACATCTTATGGTTACTTGGTGATAGTATCACTTCCGGTACTATGGTAGAAGTTGAGCGAAGTACCTAACTACAACGGCACTTGTAAAACAATCTTAACAAGCACGTTACAGTGAAAGATTATTCTGGGTCGGTTTTGGGGAAATATCGCACTCTCACATCACTGTCCTTCATCTGTGTGTTTCGTAGGTAACGCGGCTAAAGTTAGTGTAGACAACCCCTATTAGCCTATCATTATGTGGACTGCGGTCATGTTATTCGCTACAAACTACTCTTTTAAAGGAAGCTGCTGGCCATAAACTACTCACACAGTGTACCCACACATTACCTCGGCACCTCAAATGAATTTGCTTCCCTCGCCGCAAAACCTATCCGCAGACCAGGCGGCAGATTGTAGGGTGGCCAAGGTCACTGGTTGGAAGTGGAACTGGGATGGCTGAATTTCAGAAGTTAGTAGGGATCGCAGTGATGAAATCGAAGAAGGGCAACATATATGATTCTTATTCCCGCTTTGACTCTGTATATGCCACAGTCGGACCACGGGAACTTATCGGGACTTACATTTTGGCGAAAAATAAGTGACAGTACCTATTTACCGGCTTCATATCCCTCCTTCTATGCACCGTCCTAAATGATTGGTTGTTTGTAGCTCAAACGTACTTTAAGCAAGGGTGTTTCTGAGCAAGAAACACATTGACCCATCGTGACCACTGCAATGCCTCTCTCAGCCTCCATCCAGGGAAATTATCCCATTTACCGCTTCGTTTGTAACCTTATCCTCTGCATGCTAGTTACTTGTATATCAGTGAGTGGCGCTATACCACGTCCAGCAACTTAGTTATGTCAATCATTACCGTCCCCAGTAGCTCAGTTATCTCAACCATAGACTAGCAGCAGTCGAGTTGCTAGATATGATATAGTGCCATGCATTATCCACTGATTTGCACCTCACTGTCGTGCAGGAGACAGGGTGGCCCTCTCACCAAGCGACAAACTTACCAAATTTAAGCCGCCATTTAACTTATGGCCTTAAGTGTATTTTGTTATACATACTGAGTATTAGGGGGAGTTATGTGGTATGTCATCTCATCTGGACTGAATAGAAAGCTATACCACGCCGTTCTTTACCGGCCCCCGTAGCCCAGAGGTCTTCACCGTGGGCTGGTTGGTAATAGTCGAGTTGTAGGTCCTAGCCCCACAGTGGCCAAATTGAATACGCACTGGTAATGATTCCCAGGACATGAAACACTGCATCCCCTTTACTCATTTACTCAACGCAAATAGAAGACATAAATTGCGATATGTCAACATTTCGACTGCTCTCCTATCTGTGGGACCCCCTCCTGAGTACCTGAGCGATCTGATGTTAATTTGCACAAAGAATGTTCGATTTGAGTTTGAGGGAACTGCGTACAGACAGGTCGACAGGGTTGCAATGGGAAGCCCTCTGGGCCCGGTTCTGGCGGACATATTCCTTGGGCTGATTGAACGCAAAATCGCTAACACCATTGATGAAGCAAAGTTGTATAAACGTTATGTAGATGACATCCTAATCTTCACCAGCGAGGAGCACTTTCGCCGAATTGTTGTCCTTTTGAATTCGATTCACCCCAATCTCTCTGTATTGTATGAGATGGAGCAGATAGACAGCTTACCGTAGTGAGATATCCTCATCAAAACACGACCCGGAGGTACACTCCAACGCACGGTTTATCGCAAAGCGACATGGAGCGGGCAATACCTGCATTTTACCAGCTTCGCCCCGGTTGCGTACAAGCGCGGTCTTGTTAAAACCCTCTTCTACAGAGCCAGGCGCATTTGCAGCCCAGAGATGCTAAAGAGTGAAGAGGAATTCCTACTCAGAACTCTAATGTCTAACGGGTATCCGGAGAAGTTTATCCAACTCCATAGCAGACCAACCAAGGAGAAGTTACCAGTGCAAACGGCTGAGAAGAAAGCTGTTTATTTATTCTTGCCCTTCAAAGGGGACCATGTTTCAAACGACATTGGTCACAAGCTCAGGTCTGCTCTCATGCGCACTTACACCACCGCGCAGTTACGCATCATCCATACCACACGAAGGCTTGCTCTCAACTACCGTCCGAGCTGCTCGCCAGTCGGTTGGGCCTCTCATGTTATTTACCAGTTCACCTGCAGTTGCGGTGACGTATACATAGGCAGGACCGACCGCCGATTAGCTCAAAGGGTAGCTGAGCACTTCCCTCAGTGGTTAAGACAGTCCATAGTGAAACAAGAAGGGATGGATCAAACGACGAACCGGAACCCCGCCTCGTCTATCACAAAGCATCTCGTGACGACTGGCCATCACGTGGACCCATCAAAAGCATTCAAAGTGCTATTGATTAACCGCAACTCGAAGAAGCTGGCGATCAGTGAAGCGCTACTGATTGCGGTGAACCGGCCGGCGTTGTGCGCGCAAAAGGAACTGAGGCAATCTATCAGATTGCCGTGGTCATGATGTTTCAGTTCAATTTTACCCATGTGATTTCGTTCCACTTGTAAATACATTATTTCTCAACTGTACTGCGTTTGCGACTGAGGAGAGCAGTCGAAATGTTAACATATCGCAATTTATGTCTTCTGTTTGCGTTGACTAAATTTCCAGGATAATTAAACAGCTTACAGGATTTTTCCGGGCATGTGATGGCTGCCTGACTGAGGCTAGATGTGACGAACTTCTACTTATAAGAATCAGAATCGCTCAGAAGGTGGGAGTGCGACAGTGCACTACCGATCCATCTAAATGTGGCTTTTCGGCTTTTACATTGGTAGTTTTTGTGGCGTCCTTGATAGTTATTCCTTTCCTCCAGTCATCGGCAACAAGGTCGAAGAGGAGATGTGCTCATCCTCAACTCACTCATCGTCTTACTTGATGAGCTAATAATCTAACCTACTTGGAGAACAAAAAACATGAAACAACCGTGCAACGTTTTATCAGTTGCTATCTTCTCATGCTTCTCAGAAGTCCAAGTCTTTAATAGGCCTATCGCACGAAACGCCGTGGCTGAACGGCGTATCACTATAGAACCACCAAGTCTCGTCAGATATGTGCATTACTTCAGTGCTCTTTTTATGGTACCTCTTCTCCCTTCCGGATTCTTTTGTTCCATTTCAGGGCGTTCAGTAGCGAGCTCTCTAAAGATGCTGAGGGCACAACTAGCAGACGTGATTGGATGTCCGACGCAGACTCTTGAAGAGCTGGAAGATATGACCCACGGTTTAACAAAAGCTGTCTGGGACAAACTTTTTGGCACACACCTGGAAATGGAACGATCGGTGAGTAAGAGCTTGCTACTGCAGCTGTTGCACTCCCCGGATCGTTCATGGTTGAAATGTATTCATCTATGCAAAACATTCATTCATACGTATTATCATGGTCACAGCTGTGTAGCTTTTTTTGCTCCGTTCCAGACTATTCTACTGTGTGACACCACGTTCGAGTTGTGAACCGATTCGCTACTGTTTTCCGAGTGTACCAGTCTTTAAACGTTGGTCTTCTCGATGTGACTGACAGACCGGTTGCAGGTGCTCTGTCAGTAACTGATCTGCTATCACTAGTGTTCACCTGATATGAGTTTTTCCTAATTTTCACCGGTCGCAATGATGTTATTTATTTTAGTTATCTCAACTGCACCTACTTTGGTTTTGAAGGTGCGAGTGCTAAACGATGGAAGTTGAGTTCCTTGCAGAGAACACCTGCGTCCAGTGGCGCAGCAACTAATTTTACCAGTCGGAGCGGTGATAAAATTTTCACCCTGACTGCGGGCGGAATAGACGTGTGAAGGCCACACAATTAGCACAGGGTAAATTGCACGTTGGTTTTCGATGAGCTGCACTGTTGTTTGCTGCACTGAGGTCAATGTGGTGAAATTGTGCACAATCAGACAAGCAAGAGAATTGATGGGAAGAACGCTTGTGCAGGTGTGACATGGCGTAAATATGTAGTTGGTCATACAGAGTAACATTAACATCTTCATCCACCAGCTTATCTGGATATTTGCCCAGTATATTTGGTATCGAACAATCGACGGTACTAAAGATGCCGCCCCCTGTCACATGCTGCCCGAATCGGGCAGCCCTCCAAATGCCACGTTTCTGTCTGGGTCTATGTGCAAAGCATTTCACGATTCTTCGTGAATCTTCTCAGTGCTGTATACGATTACAAGCGCGAAATAGCTTGTAATAACTCAAGGATTTTTAATGGTCTAGGTCAACAAAGTACACTGAAAACTGACTACGCCTATGAGTGAAAACAAAGTCCCGCGATTGGTACCGATATTGCACTCGAAGACATCACTGTACATTGCAATAATTGCTTCATGATGTGCGGTAATTTAGCATTGCTGACTAGTTGATCTCTATTCCGTTCCAGTCCATCGATCCGAGGAGGATTTACCAGTACGTGTATCTTGGAGGATGCAGCGATGCTCTTCGATTGCAGGTAATAACTGGCTGCTATACCTTTACTATACCTCATTAGTTCTATGGTTGTCCAAGCCCAAACTATTCCTTTACGCAGCTCACGTGCTCCTACCTTTACAACGAGTAGTCCTTTCGTCCAATTACAGTCCAACCTGCCATTGCGACCACTTGTCTATGGCGACCACCTGCCCATGTTGACCAGACAACAACACCTCCAAAGATTTTCCTATATTTTCTCATTGGTCTTAACCTGTCTATGGTGTCCACCTGTCTAACGCACCAGCGACCACGCCCTTGTGGTCTTCAGGCGTTCTACCACCTGCTCAAGGAGAACACCACTAGCACAACTGACCGAATTGCAAGTAGTGGTGTCATGAAAGTCGGCTCAAGGTGTCATAAATGCCCCAGAAGCCACAACATATGCCCTGCACTGATACTTTATCGTCCAGGTTCATGCATTCGGTTTTCTTATTTGACTCCCCACAGGCTTGCTAATACCCCGTTGTCGCAATGGACCAGTACGCCTTGCGTAACTCACCCAAAACCACTCGTTTATTCTCACCCAAGCAGTCACACTGCCTTCAAACCAGACTTGTCCAGCAAAACAGTACCCCTTACTGGATATCATCGTATGTAACTAACGCACATATCCCGCTATGGGCTGTGCAGTGAACAAATCAGATGCAGCCAACTTACCCAAAAAAGGAGCAATAGCACACCTCTAGCGTAAACCCGTTTCGTGATATTGCTGAAAAGTCCATAGGATAGTGACCATAACTTTCGGCGTGAACAGCTAGTCTAGTGGCAGAAGGCCAATGGCCGTGTTCCATATAAGGAAGCGCGGTTAATGGCCCTACAGTGGCTCGCTTATGGTGAATGCCGGTCATTTACGATTGTTGTCTCTACCATCCCATAGTCATCCAGTGTTCAGCGAATTTTGCAAAATGCATATTGCCTACAGTGCTCGTGCAGAAACATGAATTTCCCTCTCACCTTAGTGGTGAGGACTTCTGGAATTCTCGGCAGACGAGTGGTACAGTGCATGGTGTAGCTGAGTGCAAGCGTAAGCTGGTGAAGGGCAGACCTGCAGGCTACCTTAGCTGTTCTGGTCATCGCGCGAGATGAGTACGGACAGCCACAACGCGCTTCCGGCGGTCGTTAGCTCTCAGCTAACTTCGCACTGAGTGTTGCAGTTCCTAGCTAACCCTAAGCATTGGAGCAATCGATGGTTATCTGTGTGTCCCGTTGGTTAAACCGAAACAACCAACTACCCGGCCAAGTCGGCGTAGGCAAGCTAAAACGCGCAACCAATACTGCGGTGTGAATGTGCGCACGTGCTGGTATCTCAGCGAACCGTGTTTTGGATTACGTGAGGGCGATATTAGGCAGTGCAAGTCGTGTCAATGTCATTGACTCACTGCCTAAGGTAAGGGAGCACGATCAGACACTGCACTCGGGACCACGTAATGTACCGGTTAATCAGCGCGCGCTGATTATTGGGCTGTATGGTGAATGCGGTTTAGACGCCGCATCAACTTCACGAAGATACAATGGAATGAATGCAGGAATGCGTCCCGTCACTGCCCAGTCAGTGCTTAAACTAGTGAAGGATTTCGAGTAAACTGGGTGTGTGTAACATGAAGAGTACCGAACCGCCTCGCCTCCCTATGGGCGACTGTTCAGCTTGCGCTGTACTCAGTGAAGTGTCAAATAGTCCGGGTCTCAGCATTCGTCGGATCGCATAGCACTGTGACACGAGCCGATACGCGGTACACCGGATATTACGGGAACGGAACTTTCGAAGATTCCGTGACTTCCTGTGTAGGTTTTGAACCGCGGTGATCCGGAGAAGCGGCATGAATTTTGCCGCTGGTTGCTGGATCACGTGCGTATTCACACTGTCATCTTTAAAGCTGTGGCGCTCTTTCATCTTCATGGAACAATGAAACATTATTTTGAGGTACCAGCAACCCACGGAAATATACCGCATCATGTATGCACCACAGTGTGCAACTGATGGTTTCGGCTGGATTAACAAGACAGAAAATCTCGAGCCGATATTTTTTCTCCTGAAACGATACCGGTAGGCTGTGCTTTTGAAGTACTAAAGACTTATCGTTTCCTGGCACCATCGTACTTGGAAATACCGCAGACCTTTGAGCTTCCACGGTTGGATATCAATGGGGCATTCAGTACCAAATGGTGGCAACAGGCTAGTGTACCTGCACATTCCCCTAAAACCGTGCGTGCTTGCCTCACCGACAAAGTTTGTCACTATTGGATCGGACGCCATGCAGCAATGAAGTGGCCTGCTCGCTCACCAGATTTGAACCCCATGGATTTCTTGCTCTGGGGATATAATAAACGACGTGTGTACACCACAAGGCCGCGTATATTGGACCAATTGACAGAATTTATTGTAAACGAATGTCGCGCGATCACAAGGGATACACTGGGGAACATGCTCGCCAACTGTATCAAACGGTGGCTGCACTGCAACCAGAACGTCGGCGGACATTTTGAACATATCTTTCACAAGCATAGATGATCGTTCTAACGCATTTCTGTTAATATACGAATACTCTTTCACAAAAGTGTTAAACATCAAATTGGTGTACTGGCGACTGGTGTTACTAATGCATCCGATCGGATAGAATTTTTAACGTCCGGGCTTTCGTTGAGCATAAGTCTTCAGTACTTCAAAACAACAGCCTACCGGTATCGTTTCAGGAGAAAAAATATGGGCCCAAGATTTTCTGGCTTGTTAATCCAGCCCAAACCATCAGTTTCACACTGTGGTGCATACATGATGCGGTATATTTTCGTGGGTTGCTGGTAGCCCAAGAATAATGTTTCATTGTTCCATGCAGATGAAACAGTGCCTCATCTGTAAAGATGACAGGATGCATATTCCCAAGGTTCAGAAACCAGCGGCAAAATTCATGCCGCTTCTCCGGATCGCAGGGGTTCAAAACCTGCACTTGAAGTGCACGGAATCTTCGAAATTTTCGTTCCTGTAATATCCGGTGTACCGCGTATCGGCTCGTGTCACAGTGCTGTGCGATCCGACGAATGCTGAGATCGGGACTTTTTGATACTTCACTGACTACAGCACAAGCTGAACAGTCGTCCGTGGTGAAGCGAGGCGGTCCGGTTCTCTTCATGTTACACCCACTCCCAGTTTGCTCAAAATTCTTCACAAGATTAAGCATATACCGGATGGTGAGGGGACGCACATCTGCGTTATTTGCATTGTATCCTCGTGAAGTTGACGCGGCGTTTAAACCGCATTCACCATACAGCCGAATAATCTGCGTGCGCTGAGTAATAGGTATGTTACATGGTTCTGACTGCAGTGTCTGTTCGTCCTACATTACTTGAGGCAGTGATGCAGTGACATTGATATGACGCACTGCCTAATAACGCCGGCACCTACTCCAAAACACCCGGTTCGCTGAGATACTATCACGCGCACACATTAACGCCGCAGTTTTGTTGCGCGCTTTAGCTCGCCTACGCCTATTTGGCTGGGTAGCTGGCTGTTTCGTTTTGGCAAGCGGGACACACAGATAACCATTGATCGCTCCAGAGTATACAGTTAGCCACGACCTTCAGCACGCAGCGCGATGTTAACTGACAGCTAACCACCTCCGGAAGCCTGTTGTGGCTGTCTGTTCTCATCTCGCTCGATGACCAAAACAGGTAAGGTAGCCTGCAGGTCTGCCTTCACCAGCTTACGCTTGCACTCAGCTACACCATGCACTGTACCACTCGTCTGCCGAGAATTCCATCTGTCCTCACTACTAAGTTGAGAGGGAAATTCATGTTTCTGCACGAGCACTGTAGGCAATATGCATTTTGCAAAATTCGCTGAACACTGGATGACTATGGGATGGTAGAGACAACAATCGTAAATGACCGGCATTCACCATAAGCGAGCCACTGTAGGGTCATGTATCGCGCTCCCATTTTGGAACGCGGGCATTTTCTTTCTTCCACTGGATTAACTGCGGAAGTGCTTTCCCTTTTATCTTTTAAGTACCGAAGTTTTTTGATAAATGTCTTACCTTTCTCACCTGATATCAGTCTGATAAATGCTTTGCAATCCGTCGCTTTTTCTTTGAATTCAAATGTTTTTCCTCCTCATGCACTACTTGTGCATCTGCAAAACCAGTTTCAACTACGGACCTGCGCCCATATTTTTTTGACACTTGCATTAAATGTTCTCCTTCGAGGCGACGTATTCACTTACCGTATTCTCATAGGGAGGTATTTAAGCTCACTTTTTCTTTTCCGCCGGAGCGTACCATAGATCATTTTCAATTGTTTAGGCTGTGTTTCTATGTTGCTGGCTTCTGTGTTTCCCGGGGTCACAGTGAGGAAACACGAGATTTGCCAGCGTACAGGTTGCCTAACTGAACTCCCTACCTCGTCTGTTGCGAGTGGTTCGTTCCACTCCAGCTGTGAGCCAGACACTACTGGTCTTTGGCCTCAAATTCAAGAGTTCTGGGATATGATCTTCCTTTGACTGGCAGACTGAAGCTCAAAGAGACTAGCAAACTCCTTAAGGCGCCCCTTGACGCCGCAGTGGAGGGTCTTCAGTTGGTGGGTTTTCTGGTGCTGAGCCGGCATTTCACTTCTGCCCGGCCTGAATCCGTTCTGGTGGCGCACGGCCTCGGGATCACTATATCGGTTAACTTCAGCTAGTTCTGAGTAACGTGCGTAGCTCGTGAAGCAAGATGTGCGAGGTTAGCGCTCTTGTGAACCATTCGACCGAAATGTGTTTGTTATCCGACGTTACGAATAGTCAGGTGAGTTTACCAGGCTGCGCATTACTGAGAGCTGACCGCGCATTCAACCTTCGCGGTGGAGGTGTAGCTCTATATCTCAGATCTACCATAATTATTTCCAAAATGTGCACGTTGTTCTTATCGGATGTGACTGCCGAAATCATTTCTTTTGAAGTACGTAACTATAAGAAGCTAAGCATTTTGTAAGTATATGGGGCTCCTGCTAGCA